TATGTTTTTGAAGTGCAATAAGTTGATTAGAGTAGACAAGTCCACAGTAGTTGTAGTGTTCGGTGAATCATCTGGGCCTGATGCATGAGGCAGACGATGATGATGTCAGAAGTGGTGGCATTGTGGCTAGAGATGTAGAAGTAACTGTAGATTTTGTAAAAGTTGGTGTAGGTTAGACCTCAGAGATATCTAATGATCAGAAGATGTAAAGTAAGGTCACAACTAAAAAAATGTATTATATTGATCTTTTTTGATAAAACAGTAATAGTATTGGTCTTGTTAGTTTGGTTATTCTAAATTGTTTCTTTGTTAGAAATATGCACAAGAACTACAACAGTCCAAGTTCTCTGTATTTTAGGGTAGTAATTTACTGCATAGAAGTTAATTAGTTTCTATCTTATCCATAATTAGTTTCTAATCTTATCCCTAATCCTTAGGAGTTGGTTTCTCAATTTCAGTTGGCTTGTAAACACTATAAATTAATCTGTTTTATAATGAAGTAAGTAGTTTTGCTTTCATAAATATTTCTTTGCTGGTTTATCAAAATAATGTTCCCACTTGTTCAAAAACAAGAGAAACCAGATTGTTATGTTCTTCCTTCTCTGTAAACTAACAATTGGTATCAAAGCGTTTATTTCTTGAGGGATTTGTGGGTGTTTCATCAATGTTAGGATTGTAATCAAGAACATAAGTTTATCAATCAAGGAAGCAGAATCAAGTTTTTCTGTAATGGCACCACCTGTTTTTAACGGTGATAACTATCAGATTTGGGTGGTAAGGATGGAAACTTATCTAGATGCCATGGATATATGGGAGGCAATCGAAGAGGATTATGAAGTTCCTCCGTTGCCTAACAATCCTACTATGGCCCTAATTAAGAACCATAAAGACAGGAAAACAGAAAATCAAAGGCAAAGGCCTATTTATTTTCAGCAGTATCTTCTTCAATCTTCACTCGAATTATGTCTCTAAGGTCAACCAAAGCCATCTGGGATTATCTCAAGGTAGAATACGAAGGGGATGAAATGATCAGAGGTATGCAAGTGCTAAATCTTATAAGAGATTTCGAGACGCAGAAGATGAAAGAAATTGAAACCATCAAAGATTACTCTGAAAGGCTTTTGAACATAGCAAACAGGGTAAGATTGCTTGGTTTCGTGTTTAATGATTCACGTATTGTTGAAAAGATTCTGCCAGAAAGATTTGAAGCAACCATAACTACTTTGGAAAACACTAAGAATTTGTCCAAAATCACCTTCGCAGAGTTATTGAATGCTTTGCAGGGTCAAGAACAACGAAGAGTCATGAGAGAAGAAGGAAATACTGAGGGAGCATTGTTTACCAAGCCTTAAGATGGAGGCAAAAACAAAAAGAAGAAGAGCAAGAAATGGTGAATGTATTTTAGCAAGTACTACCAAAGGAAAAACTGGACACTCAAAGAAAAGTTATCCTCCTTGTAAGCATTGTAACAAGAAAGGCCATCCACCATATAAATATTGGAGAAGGTCTGATGCTAGATGCAGTAAATGCAATCAACTTGGGCATGAAGCTGTCATTTGCAAGAACAATGGTCAGCAACAAGAAGCAGAGGCTCAGATTGTTGATGGTGAGGAGGAAGATCAACTCTTTGTTGCTGCATGTTTTTCAAGTAGATCATCGAGCGCTACATGTTTTTCAAGCAGATCATCGAGCGAGTGTTGGCTGATTGACAGTGGATGCACTAATCACATGACAAATGACATGTCTCTCTTCAAGGAGTTGAATCCCACGACCATTACTAAAGTCAGAATAGGTAATGGCAACCATCTTCCTGTAAGAGGGAAAGGAACCATTGCTATTTCAAGTCATTCAGGTACTAAAATAATTTCTGATGTGCTTTATGTACCTGACATAGATCAAAACTTGCTTAGTATTGGTCAATTGATGGAAAAAGGCTACAAATTAAATTTTGAAGATAAACATTGCTTGATCAAGGATGCTTCAGATCAAGAAATGTTTAAAGTAAGAATGAGAGGCAAAAGTTTCTCATTAGATCCATTTGAGGAGGAGCATGTTGTTTTTTCAGCCAAAGAAAGTGTTGCAGAAGTATGGCACGAGAGACTCAGACACTATCACTATGAAGGGTTGCTTAAAATGCAAAAAACAAAAATAGTTAAGGACTTGCCTGCTTTAGAAGTAAATTCTTCAAATTGTCTTGCTTATCAATATGGAAAACAAAACAGACTTCCATTTCCAAAGACAAGTTGGAGAGCCTCGAACAAATTGCAACTAATTCATACTGATATAGCACGACCTCAAAGGACTCCCTCACTAAAAGGTAGTCTTTACTATATCATTTTTGTTGATGATCTAACCCGCATGTGTTGGATTTATTTTCTCAAGCATAAGACAGAGGCTGCTAATGTCTTTCGGAAGTTCAAAGCACAAAAGTAGAAAATGAAGCTAACTGTAAAATTCAGTCCGTAAGAACAGATAATGGAATGGAATACACTTCTCACCAGCTCAACATGTTATGTGAGGAAGAAGGGATTCATCATCAGCTTACTACTCCCTATACTCCACAACAAAATGGAGTAATTGAGAGAAGGAACAAATATATTATGGAGATGACTAGATGCATGTTGCACGAGAAGAACTTGCCAAAGCAATTTTAAGCAGAGGCAGCAAATACATCAGTTTTTCTTCAAAATAGGCTTTCTACTAAGGTAGTGAAAGACTGAACTCCTTTTGAAGCTTGGTATGGATTTAAACCATCATTAAATTTTCTTAAAGTGTTTGGTTGTCTATGTTTTTCCTATATTCCTCAGGTTAAACGAGACAAACTAGATAAAAAATCTGTCCCAGGCATTTTTATTGGATATAGTTAAGTTTCAAAGGCATAAAAGGTCTTCCAACCACAAACTGAAAATATAATCTTTAGTAGAGATGTGTATTTTATAGAGAAGAAGAGTGGTGTTGGGAAGACTCAAAGAAATCTGTCCTTAACTCTTCTGACAAAGCAGAAAAGTTTCCTACCAAGTTTTTTGAAAAGAAATATCACTCTCACGGCAGGATGAAATGGTGGATCATTTACCAGTAAAAGGTACTCGACAACTCGCTGATATATATATATCAGTGATGCAATATAGCAGTAAGTGAACCTGCTGGGTACAATGAAGTCAAGAATGATGAAAAATGGGTGGCTGCAATGAAAGAAGAGTTGTTTATGATTGAGAAGAACATGACTTGGGAGCTTGTTGATCAACCTGAAGACAGAAAAATAATTGGGTTGAAATGGGTCTTTAGAACCTAGCTAAATGCACATGGTTCAATGAACAAGCATAAAGCAAGACTTGTAGTTAAGGGGTATGCTCAAATTTTTGGTGTGGATTATTTTGATACATTTGCACCAGTAGCTAGGCTTGACACGATCAGGTTACTTCTTGCTCTTGCTGCACAATTGGGCTGGAAAGTGTATCAGATGGATGTCAAATCAGCATTCCTTAATGGCTTTATTCAGGAAGGAAATTTATGTTGAGCAACCTGAAGGCTTTGTAGAGAAAGGAAAGGAGGACAAAGTTTATAGGCTTAGAAAGGCACTTTATGGACTTAAACAGGCACCAAAAGCCTGGTATGGTTGACTAGATGGCCATTTACTTAGCTTAGGCTTTGAAAAGGGTCTATCAGAATCTACTCTTTATGTTAAACATCATGGCATTGATATTCTTGTTGTGTCTATATATGTGGATGTTGTACTAGTTACAGGAAGCAATACAAGGCATATCGAGGGTTTCAAGCAAGAAACGATGTAAGCCTTCAAGATGACTGATGTTGGTCTAATGTCTTATTTTTTTGGTATGGAAATCAAGCAGGGACAAGATGAATTTTTCATTTGCCAGAAGAAATATGCTAAGGAAATTCTCAAGAAGTTCAACATGGAAGATTGCAAGGAGATGAGTACTCCTATGAACCAAAAAGAGAAACTAAGCAAGAATGATGGAGTAGAGAAAGTAGAGAGAAAAAGTAGAGGGAAAGTAGAGGAAACGTACTTCAGAGGCTTAGTTGGTTGTTTGATATATCTCACAGTTACAAGACCTGATATTTTGTATGCTGTAAGAGTTCTATCGAGGTTCATGCATTGTGCTAGTGAGGTGCATCTAAAAGTAGCAAAACGAGTTTTCAGATACATCAAAGGTACCATTAATTATGGTATCAAGTTTCAGAAAAATTAGATCTAAAACTACTTGGGTATTCTGATAGTGATTGGGCTGGATCCACGTATGACATGAAGAACACATCTGGATATTGTTTCAGTCTTGGCTCAGGAATGTTTTCGTGGTGCTCAAAGAACCAGGACATTGTGGCTCAATCCACTGTAGAGGCGGAATTTGTGGCTGCAACAGCAGCAGTGAATCAAGCGATGTGGTTGAGGAAAGTATTTGTTGATCTGCACATGAATCAGACAAAGGGAACTGAAGTATTTGTAGACAACCAATCTGCCATAGCAATTTCTCATAATCCTGTATTTCATGGGAAAACAAAACACTTCAACATCAAGCTTTTCTTCTCGAGGGAAGTGCAAAATAATAGTGACGTGATTATGCTCTATTGCCAAACTGAAGAGCAGTTGGATGATATCTTCACCAAACCATTATGAGGCAACAAATTCCAACTTCTCAGGCAAAAACTTGGAGTTTACAGCTCTTAAAGCAAGAAGGAGTGTTAGAAATATGCATAAGAACTGCAGCAGTCCAAGTTCTTTGTATTGTAGGGTAGTTATTTACTGTTAAGCATTTAATTAATTTCTAATCTTATCCCTAAACCTTAGGAGTTGGTTTCTTAATTTCAATTGGTTTGTAAACTCTATAAATTAATCTGTTTTATAATGAAGTAAGTAGTTTTGCTTTCATAAATATTTGTTTGCTGGTTTATCAAACTAATGTTCCCACTTTTTCAATAACAAGAGAAACCAGATTGTTATGTTCTCCGTTCTCTGTAAACTAACATTCTCACTTCCACAGTCGTGCATAAATGTTGCTCTTTGCTTCGTTTCACCTGAAAACGTTGGTGAATGCATTCGTTTGACTGAGGAATTCCGCAAACTTCCCCAAGATCATGTTGCTAAAGAAGACAAACTGGAGGTACTTCTCTTGTTCTATGTTTGTCAGAGCTGTTTATATGCTTCTGTGTTTTATGACCATGTTCTTGCCAGAATTTCTCTTTGCACAGATTCACATTCCTTTTTAAGTAGATTACTCTCTATATGACCCCATTATCATTTTGGAGAGTCAAAACAGTCTAAAATGTCTAACTATTTTTAAATGTAAAAGAGTTTCGAATTGGATTACTTTTTATATAGTTTCAAGTACGTAAATTCTATTTTAAAAGTTTTGCCATATTAATTTCTGAGTTCACACCTAGAATTAGATGGTTGACTCTATTACTCTGGACCTCGCTATTATTCTCAAGACAGAGGGAGTATTATTTATAGGCTCTTCAATTGTTCTGGACATATGTAGTTAAGTGTGACATGGATCTGTGTGTAAGGCTATATTTGAAACACAAAGGAAGTTTAATTATTTACGCTTGAGGAACATCTTTCTTCTAATAAGTTTCAACTGTTTGGGGACATTTTTGAATCTCGTAAGGGGAATGAGTGTAATGCAGACCAGACGAGTTCCCTTCCCTGGCAACAACAATGTCTCTCTATTAAGTCTACTAAATGAGCCTTTCACTGCCCACCTAACCTTATCCTTAATTGAGCTCTTAAGGTTAGCTATAGTCAAGGTTCTTCCAAAGCGGGATAGCCATAGAAGCAGGCTGCTATCCTTCGGTTAAGGTATTAGTGTTTTTCCTATTATACCACAAATATCACATTTTCCCACTTTGTTCAAATAAGAGTTTTGCATTGTTTCTTATTATGAGAAGATAATACCTTCCATGAAAAAATAAGATGAAGTGGCTTTCAATAGTCGAGTAATGTTTAATGCTCTGCCATACAATTTGAGCGATAAATGAGTTCCGTCGTAAGCACGATCAGTGTTGTTAGAAGTGAGCGCTTTGTCGTTTTAATACTTTTCCATACAGTTTGAGGGATAAATGAGTTCTGTCTTAAGCATGAATCCTATTAATAAAATCCTTGGATTTCTTCATTATGGATTGGACATTGTACTTTATGCTCTTTGTTATAGAATGTACATAGACACATTTTCATATAGAATACACAGCACAACCATTAATAGAGATATTTAGGGATTTTTTTATTTTGTTTTCCTTAGATTATTTGTACACCTACAATAGCACTCCTTTTGGATGAATACAAAATTGAAACTTGCTCCATGCTCTCTGTATTTTACATGGTATCAGAGTAGAGTTTTTAATGTTTTTCTTTTTTTTTCTTTACGAATCACTGGTGTCAGCCAGTTCAAAAAATTTTCCGTAAGTGACTTGGTTGGTCACGTCTGGTACTGGGAGGTACTTGGAACTTGATATTCCAACCTCACAACTAACCTACGGAGGACCACCTCACCTGATCTGTAAGAACCCAGTATTCGGGGGCTGACAGGGAAGAGTGTGAGGCTCACGCTCCGGCAACTATTTCAGGCAGCTTCTCCATACGAGGCACGTGGGGGAGTGTGTAACATCTGAATCAGATCAGATTTTGTGGTCTCTTGTTCAACAGACTTCAGTTGGGTTATTTCCGAGCATTCTAGGTTTCTCAAACTTTGTTTTCCTTGGGTAAAATCGATTGACATTGCATTTGCTGATTTTGGTTTCAGATTACTGCTAAAATTTTGGTCAAATTTTCCTCGGCGAATCTCTGGCTTGATTGATTGTTTACTCTAAGTGAAGAATTAGTTTGATTGGATCAACCGAGCTCTATTAATTCTTGAGCATCTGGAAATCTGTTGGGGTATTTCTACTTCGTGAAATTTTTCTGGTTTCACCTCTAAAATTATTTTTGATACATTGAGTATTTAATTGGAACAATAATTGATCATAATCTGGTAACTCGAAGGTCTGAAGATTTGGTACTTCTAGTTCATCATCTGAGAAAATGGTTTTGATTTTGGTCGAGGAGTTTGCTAAATTCTCTCAATATCAAAAATCCAGTTCAGTTACTAGCCGGTTCAAATAAATGGGTCATTGATTCAGGTGCCACAAATTACATGATAGGTAATCCTAATATCTTTTCAAGCTTTCGACCACACAAAGCACCATCTCTAGTTACTATACCCGATGGATCAACTTGTAACAGTCTTGGATTTGGAATTGTTAAACCAACCTCCTCTATTACCTTGTCGTCCGTGTTAAGTCTACCAAAATTGGCTTTAAATTTAATATTTGTAAGTAAACTTACCGGAGATCTTAATTGTTATATTTCGTTCTTTCTCGATCATTGTATGTCTTGTGATCTTACAACAAATCCGTTAATTGGCAAATGACATGTAAATGATGATCTCTAATATGCCACTTATCAGCTGCATCTAGTTGTATGATTGCCACTCTAGACTCTATCTCTATCCCCAAAACAAGGAAGGATGCCTTGAACCATCCTAGATGGCATGACACAATGCTTGAGGATATACAAGTTTTAGATGAAAATCACAATTGGAATTTGGTAGATTTACCCAAAGGAAAGAAAGCAGTTGAATGCAAATGGATCTTTGCGGTCAAAGTTAATCCAGATGGCTCTATTGCAAGACTTAAGGCCAGACTTGTAGCTAAAGGCTATGCTCAGACCTATGGGGTAGATTATTCTGACACATTTTCCCCGGTAGCCAAGCTCACCTCTGTTCACTTGTTTGTTTCCTTGGCTGTTTCTCAGTGTTGGCCTTTACATCAATTGGATATCAAAAATGCATTTCTTCATGGTGATCTCAATGAAGAAGTGTATATGAAGCAACCATCTGGGTTTGTTGCTCGAGGGGAGTATGGAAAAGTTTGTCGTATGAGAAAATCTGTATATGGTCTAAACCAAAGTCCTCGTGCTTGGTTTGAAAAATTTAGCGATGTATTTCAGGAATTTGGACTGAAGAAGAGCAAGTGTGATCACTCAATTCTCTATAGACAGTCAACAATTGGTATTATCCTTTTGGTTGTTTATGTTGACGATATTGCTATTACTGGAGATGATTGTGCAGGAATTTCTTCTCTCAAGGAGTTTTTACATGCCAAGTTTCATACCAAAGATTTGGGGCAACTAAAATACTTCTTAGGTGTTGAAGTAGCAAGAAGCAAGAAAGGAATTTTCTTGTCACAAGAAAATATGTAGTTGATCTACTTGCAAAAACTGGAAAATTGGGAGCCAAACCATGTCGCACACCAATGGTTCCTAATGTTCATCTTACTAAGGATGATGGTGATCCTTTTGATGATCCAGAAAGATACAGAAACTTGGTTGGGAAATTGAACTACCTCATATTGCCCCATCCAAATATTGCACATGTAGTTAGTATCATCAGTCAATTGATGTATGCACCTACAGTCAAACATTGGGCAGCCTTGGAACATATCTTGTGCTACTTGAAAGGAGCACCTGCCCTTGGCATTTTCTATAGTGACCACAGACATACTCGTATTGAGTGTTTTGCTGATGCTGATTGGGCTGGATCAAGAATTGATAAAAGATCTACTACTGGCTATTGTGTTTTTGTTGGTGGAAATCTGGTATCTTGGAGGAGTAAGAAACAAACTGTTGTATCTCGATCTAGTATAGAATATGAGTATAGAGCTATGGCTCAATCCGCATGTGAAATATTATGGATTCATCACCTTTTAGTTGAGATCAGTTTGTGAACCCTTTGTCTCCAGCAAAACTTTGGTGTGATAATCAGGCTGCTCTACACATTTCCTCAAATCCAGTGTACCATGAATGGACGAAACACATTGAGGTTGACTATCACTTTGTTTGTGAGAAGATTCCAGGGAACATGATTTCTACTGGATATGTGAAAACAAGAGACCAATTGGGTGATATGTTCAAGAAGGCTTTAAATGGAACTCGGATTGAATATCTTTGTAACAAGTTGGGCATGATTAATATCTATGCTCCAACATGAGGGGGAGTGTTATAGAATGTACATAGACATATTTTCATATAGAATACATAGCATAATCACAGCACAATCATTGATTGAGATATCTAGGGATTTTCTGATTTTGTTTTCCTTAGGTAGATTATTTGTACACCTACAAATAGCTCTCCGTTTGGATTAATACAATATTGAAACTTGCTCCATTCTCTCTGTATTTTACACTCCTCAATAATTGCTTGTGGATAGAATACAACTTCCATAAGTATTGCTTGTGGATAGAATACTACTTCCATAAGATAATACTTTCTCATTGCATCAATATAACATCTCATTTAATAACTTTATATCAAGTGTTTGTGCAAATAGTTGACATAATTTCATCACTAGAAGCACTTATATTAGATGTCTTATTATTCTACATTTTTTTGTGGATATTGCTTCGATGATGCCTTCTAAATCTTTCAGTTACATTTTTTGGAGTGTGGAACCTTTAGCAGAAATCCTCTATTTACTTTTGCTTGAATATAGTTTTGGTAAAGGTGATAATCTGCTCTTTGTACCACAGGTCAAAAAGATGATTTTTCATGCCATGACGGATGCCGTTTGCGAACTGGGAATGAGAAGTCAGTGAGTTAGTCTCACCTGAAACTGTGCTATCCTCTTTACTCCCTCTCCTTGTTTCAGTCCATTTTATTCATCTGTTGGTGTAAACAAATTGTGTTATTGATAGCAGTTTGTTTATTAAGTAGGTCCTGGTGTTGTGCGCTCCACGTGTGACTATCTTCTCTATAAGATTGTGTTTTTAGTATTTCTGTTGCCTGGAAGATGGATTAGTCTCACCTAAAACTGTGCTATCTTCTGTACTCCCTCTCATTGTTTCAGTCCATTTTTTCCATCTGTTGGTGTAAACAAATTGTGTTATTGATAGCAATTTGTTTATTAAGTAGGTCCTGGTGTTGTGTGCTGCACGTGTGACTATCTTCTCTAGAAGATTATGTTTTTAATATTTCTGTTGCCTGGAAGATGGATTAGCATGTTAAGCTTTTTTTTTATTAGGAACATATTAAACTTTGATCAACAGTGGTACTGAAAATGACGTGGTTAGAGCAGAGGTATCATTGTCTAGCTTGAAGTCCTCTAGGCAAGAGGCTGATCTTGCTATAAACTATAACTGTTATTCCGTACTTGTGACTGAATGTTTTCTCTTTAACTGTTGCACTAACAGAAAGTTTGTAGTCAAATTTGTTTCATGAATTTTCTGTGATTCTTGTCTCTTTGAGAAAATTGCATCACTCCTGTAGACTCTTGCATTTTTGGCAACATAACCCTTATAGTTGCTTCAATGGCCACTATTTTACTGAATATATTGTTTTACCCTTTTAAATTTGCAAATTAGAGGGATGGCTTCTTATCCACTCCCTCCCCTCAGATTTTTAAAAACTTAGTTAACCCTCCATTAGTGTTCTCCAGCAGTTAGCTCTCATCCTTTTTATTTCTTACTCTCCAGTTGTGCCCTTCACAGCCACTGGTTTTTTTAAGCTGTTATACCCCCAAAAAGGAAACATTTGACACTTTCCGTGTAAATTCCCAGTCTTAACCTATCACAAATGTTAATTATGGTATATTTGGATAGTATAGATATGCGAATATTTAAATATGGTACGATTAGATGCTCTAGATATGAGAATATTCCCTAATCCCTTTAATTAAGTAGTTAGGATATTATGTAATATTTTATTAGTTTCTTTCCATATTTACATTATTTGTAACTGCTATTTAATCCCATCAACTTGAGGGAATGATTAACAATTCAATTCCCCATATCTTTTCTTTTTCTTCTTCTAATTTCTCATGGTATCAGAGCCACAAGGCTTTTTTTTTCAACCCTCTCTCTGAATATTCTCTGCAGTAACAAAAAAAACTGAAGAAAAGGGGAAGGATTGATCAATAGCTGTTAAATCAATCATATCAGATTCACTCCATTCTCACCTCCATCTTTCTTCTCTCTTTCTTCAGGTCATTTAAAATTTGTCTAATTTCTTTCTTTCTTACATTTGGTTGTCTACTACTTTGTTTCTCCATATCTGTTGAAGACGCTTACTTTCTTACTTCATCAGTACTTCTCTTTGTGACAAATAAAAATGCCTCATAACCAAATTGATAATCAGATTACTCCAAATCAGATTGTTAAGTCAATTGTTTCTTCTACACCATCACTGGTAATTTACTATGGTAAAGTTAGATTGTAGTGGTAATTACACCTCCTAGGCAGCCTCTGTAGAATTGTGGTTTATAGGTCAAGGATTTGAAGATCAGTTGCTCAAAAACAGTAGTAATATTGGAGTAACTGATAGACCTGCTGGGTTAAAATTGATGCACAATTGTGTAGTCTTCTATGGAATTCACTTGATCCTAAGTTGTGAAATTTGTTTCAGTCTTGTAAAACTTATTGCAAAGTGTGGAACAAAGCCAAAACTATGTATACAAATGATATACAACTCATTTTCAAAGTTGTGTCAGATATTGTTCATTTACAACAGAATCAACAAGACATGGCAACTTATTTGGGTCAGGCAGAATCCTTAAAAGGATAAATTTGATTCTCTTATGCCTTTTACTGACAAATTAAATGAGCAGGAGACACAAAGAGACAAGTTCTTTATGGTCTTGGCTTTGATTGGGTTGCGAGCAAACCTAACCTCAATTCATGACCAAATCCTTTCTTGCCCATCTATTCCTACCTTGGAAGGAGTATTTGCAAGATTACTACGCATCACATCTGCACCACCAGAGGTAAATTCTTATGATGCATCTATCATGGCTGTCCAAACTAACAATTTCCAAGGTGGATACAGGAAAGGAAAATGGAGGAACAATAAACATTGCACTCATTGTAATAAGGGAGGACATATACGAGATGAATGTTGACTTCTCCTCTTACATTGTACTCATTGTAATAAGGGAGGGGATATAAGAGAAGAATGTCGGCTTTTTCATGGTAAGCCTCCACACAATAATGATCGTCCTCGACACACAACAAATATGACTCATAATGGAGATGGTATTCTACCTATACCTAATGCCAAGGATGGATTATCTCAATCAGTCACTTTAATTGGAGTAGACTATAATGACTACCTTCAATACCAAACATCAAGGCAACAATTATCAACCTCATCGGCTGCTTGCACAACACAATCTGGTAACTCCTTTGCTTATGTCGCACGTTCTTCATCTCAGGGACAATGGATTCTTGATTCTGGTGCTTCTGACCATATTTCTAGTAACAAAAATACTCTATCTACTTTTACTACCCCTTCTACCTTCTCTACTGTTACTTTGGCTAATGGATCAAAGACTATTGTAAAAGGGATAGGTGCAGCTCACCCTCTACCCTCTATACCTTTTAAATCAGTCTTTTTTGCACCTGAATGCTCGTATAATCTTATTTCCATTAGCAAATTGACAAAAAACCTGAAATGTGTTGTAACCTTCCTTGATGATTCTGTTATTGTGCAGGATCGGAGTACGGGACAAATGATTGGAAAAGGACATGAGTCACAAGGATTGTACCTGCTATCTATTCCAACACCACATGTTGCTTTCACTTCCGCTGTGACTTCTGAATCGCTCCATAGTCAATTGGGTCATCCAAGTCTCTTGAAATTGCAGAAGATGGTCCCCTGTTTATCTAGTTTATCTTTGTTAGAATGTGAGTCGTGTCAGCTTGGGAAACATACTCATGCCTCTTTCCCAAAACGCATCAATAATAGGGCTACCTCTATGTTTGAAATTGTTCATTCTGATATATGGGGTCCAAGTCGTGTCACTTCTTCCTTAGGCTTTCATTATTTTGTTACTTTTATTGATGACTATTCTCGATGCACATGGTTATTTTTAATGAAGAATAGATCTGAGTTATTCTCTATCTTTCAGAAATTTTGTGCTGAAATTCACAATCATTTGGTATTTCCATTAAGAAGTTAATCAGTGATAATGCCCGAGAATACTTCTCTATTTCTCTCTCTTCTTTTATTTCATCTCAGGGCATATTGCACTTGTCTTCTTGCGCACATACTCCTCAACAAAATGGAGTTGCTGAGCGAAAGAACAGACATCTAATTGAAACATCTCGGACATTGCTTATTCACAATCATGTCCCTTTGCGTTTTTGGGGTGATGCCGTTATTACTGCTTGTTATTTAATAAATCGCATGCCTTCATCTGTTTTGTTGTACCAAAGTCCACACTCGGTCCTCTATCCGGACCAAAATTTGTTTCATCTTCCTCCATGTGTGTTTGGTTGCACCTGTTTTGTTCATAATCTTACCCCTCGAAAAGATAAAACTTCAGCACAAGGCTTTCAAATGTGTCTTTCTCGAGTATTCTCGTCTACAAAAAGGTTACAAATGTTTTGATCCCTCAACTAATAAATACTTGATCTCTGCAGATGTTACTTTTTTCGAGACTTCTTCGTATTTTTCTCCTAATACGGAAAATCAAAAGGCCATATCAGTCCTTCCAATTCCATCAATTCCAATCCCAGCTCCACCTCCGACTCTTAAGGTCTATTCTCGACAACTTCAACCTCTTTCTGAGCCTCTTAATCCAATTAGTATTTCTAACTTTGATACAGGTACACAAAGCAATCCTGGTGACTCATTACCTGCTCCAATAACGTCTCCTGCTTCGGTTGAGCACTTATTAAATGTTCTTCCCATTGCTCTTCACAAAGGTACTAGAACTACTGCCAATCAAACTCCCATTTATGCTTATTTAAGTTATCATCGTCTGTCACCATCATATCATGCCTTTCTCACTAGCTTATCATCGGTCAAAGTTCCTAAGACTGTGGCAGAAACACTGGTTCATCCAGGTTGGCGTCAGGTTATGATTGAGGAGATGACTGCTTTGCATGATAATGGTACTTGGGAGCTTGTTCCTTTACCTGAAGGCAAAACCACAGTTGGTTGTCGTTGGGTATTCACAATTAAGATAGGCTCGGATGGAGCTATTGATCGTCTCAAAGTGAGACTGGTTACTAAGGGATACACTCAGATTTATGGCATCGATTATGGAGATACTTTTTCACCAGTTGCCAAGATGGCTTCTGTCCGTCTTCTTATCTCTATGGCAGCAATGAATCATTTGCCCCTTTTTCTGTTGGACATCGAAAATGCATTCCTACATGGAAAACTTGCTGAAGTGGTATATATGGAGCAACCACCATGGTTTGTTGCTCAGGGGGAGTCTAGGCTAGTTTGTAAACTTCGCTGATCCGTCTATGGTCTCAAGCAATCTCCTAGAGCATGGTTTGGTCGTTTTTGAGTTGTTGTCTAACAATTTGGAATGATCTAAATATAAGCTGATCACTCTGTATTCTATAGGCATTCATCTCATGATAAACATATCTTTTTAATTGTTTATGTTGATGATATTATTATCACAAGAGATGATCACGAAGGTATTGCTCAACTCAAACAACACCTCTCAAGTCACTTTCAGACTAAGGATTTGGGCAAGTTGAATTACTTTCTAGGCATTGAAGTGGCACAGTCTGGCCATGGTATTTCTATTACTTAAAGGAAATATGCCTTAGACATTTTGGAAGACGCTGGTATGTTGGATTGCAAACATGTGAACAGTCCAATGGATCCAAATACTAAGCTTATTCCAGGATAGGGGGAGCCTCTAAAAGATCCTAGCAGATATCGGAGATTTGTTGGCAAACTCAACTATCTCACGATCACGCGACCAGACATCTCATTTGTTGTTAGTATAATTAGCCAGTTTTTGCAATCACCTTGTGATAGTCACTGGAATGCAGTGATTCGCATCCTACGATATATCAAAAGCTCTCCAGGACAAAGTTTATTGTATAAAGATAAGGGACACACCAACATTGTTGGCTATTCTAATGCAGATTGGGCAGGATCTCCTTTTGACAGGCGGTCCACTTCAGGTTATTGTGTTCTAATTGGAGGCAATCTAATATCTTGGAAAAGTAAAAAGCAAGTTGTCGTAGCTAGATCAAGCGCAAAAGCAAATTATTGAGCTATGGCACTAGCTACATGTGAGCTTATATGGTTGAGACAACTTCTCCAAGAATTGAAGATGGGAGGAGTTGAACCGATGACATTGATTTGTGATACATATTGCTTGTAATGCAGTGTTCCATGAAAGAACGAAGCACATTGAGATAGATTGTCACTTCATTCGAGAGAAGATTGAGTCTGGATACATCGCCACAAGTTTTGTCAACTCAAAAGATCAACTGGCAGAATTTTCACAAAATCACTCCGAGGATCTAGAATTGACGATATATGTGGCAAACTAGGAGCGTATGACTTATACGCTCCAGCTTGAGGGGGAGTATTAATTATGGTATATTTAGATAGTATAGCTATGAGAATATTTAAATAAGGTACGATTAGATGCTCTAGATATGAGAATATTCCCTAATAGTTAGGATATTATGTAATATTTTATTAGTTTCTTTCCTTATTTACATTATCTGTAACAACTATTTAATCCCATCAACTTGAGGGAATGATCAACAATTCAATTCCCCATATCTCTTCTTTTTCTTCTTCTAATTTCTCAACAAAATTAATTTTGTAATTTTTACCACCTGTCCCATTTTAATGACACTTTGGACATTCCAAAATGTTTGAGACCTTTTTATTACTCATATATACCAATTTCACAACTTTCAAGAATTAAGATCCATTTTACAATTCAAATTTCAAATTTCGATGTTATGTTTTCTCTATTAAACTAACTTTTGAATTACTACTTAATAAGGATTTTCTTCCACCATCAGTAATTTAATGTGGAAGTATACTGACTGTCTTGAACTATGTTTTCCTTCACCGGGACAGAGGCAGTATAAGTTTATGTATTGAGCTGCCTCTCACAAACTTTAAGGGCTGTCGTGCACTTTTACTGTTTTCCATAATCTCTCTAGTTTCTGCATTGAAACTGCATAAGCAAGGGGATACAACTACCACTTTATTAAAATAATTATCGTCTTGATTTATCAACAAGGAACAATTCAAAGATGGATGGTGTCAAATATCTGTCATCAATGTCGTCATCAACTCCAATCAACAAAGTGCAAGACGTAAGTGATATATGAAGACACGTCTTTCCTCAAAACAACTAGCTTATGTCTAGATGTTTAACAATCTGTAGTTTCTCTTTTTAGGCCATGCCACAAGCAACTCCCCAAATATCTTTGGATATTGTGAAACAGTCAGAGGACATGGCACAAGCCAGAAGGAAATCTTCTGCTATCGAAAATGAGCTGCCTAGAACCGTGCAAATTGATTGTAGGAGTCCTGTTTCAAGTCATCTTCTTTCTACAGAAAAGGTATTAAAGTCATCCTGTCAGCTTCCTTAGTATGGTTTTCCTTGATTTATATTTAGATGTATAACAATTTATATCTTCTGTTTTCAGGCCATGCCACAAACCAGAAGGAAATCTTCTGTTATCGAAAAATGAGCTGGTTAAAACTGCGGAAACTGATTGTGGGAGTCTTGTTTCAAGTCATCTTCTTTCTGCAGAAAAGGTATTAAAGTCATCCTGTCAGCTTCCTTAGTATGGTTTTCCTGGATTCATCTTTAGATGTATAACAATCTATAACCTTTGTTTTCAGGCCATGCCACAAGCCAGAAGGAAATCTTCTGCTATTGAAAATGAGCTGGTTAGAACCGCGCAACCTGATTGCGGGAGTCCTGTTTAAAATCATCTTCTTTCTGCAGAAAAGGTATTAAAGCCATTCTGCCAGCTTCCTTAGTATGGTTTGCCAGGATTTATCTTTAGGTGTATAACAATCTATATCTTCTGTTTTTAGGCTATGCCACAAGCCAGAAGAAAATCTTCTGCTATCGAAAATGAGCTGGTTAGAACCACACAAATTGATTGTGGGAAACCTGTTTCAAGTCATCTTCTTTTTGCAGAAAAGGTACTAAAGTCATCCTGTCAGCTTCCTTAGTATGGTTTTCCTTGATTTATCTTTCGATGTATAGCAATCTAATCTTCTGTTTTCAGTCCATGCCACAAACCAGAAGGAAATCTCCTACTATCGAAAAAGAGCTAGTTAGAACTGCGGAAACTGATTGTCGGAGTCTTGTTTCAAGTCATCTTCTTTCTGAAAAAAAGGTATTAAAGTCATCCTGTCAGCTTCCTTAGTATGGTTTTCCTGGATTCATCTTTTAGATGTATAACAATCTATAACCTTTGTTTTCAGGCCATGCCACAAGCTAGAAGGAAATCTTCTGCTATTGAAAATGAGCTGGTTAGAACCGCGCAACCGTATTGCGGGAGTCCTGTTTCAAATCATCTTCTTTCTGCAGAAAAGGTATTAAAGCCATCCTGCCAGCTTCCTTAGTATGGTTTGCCAGGATTTATCTTTAGGTGTATAACAATCTATATCTTCTATTTTCAGGCTATGCCACAAGCCAGAAGAAAATCTTCTGCTATCGAAAATGAGCTGGTTAGAACCACGCAAACTAATTGTGGGAAACCTGTTCCAAATCATCTTCTTTCTGCAGAAAAGGTACTAAAGTCATCCTGTCAGCTTCCTTAGTATGGTTTACTTTGATTTCTCTTTAGATGTATCGCAATATAATCTTCTGTTTTCAGCCCATGCCACAAACTAGAAGGAAATCTCCTGCTATCGAAAAAGAGCTGGTTAGAACTGCGGAAACTGATTGTCGGAGTCTTGTTTCAAGTCATCTTCTTTCTACAGAAAAGGTCTAAAGTCATCCTGTCAGCTTCCTTAGTATGGTTTTCTTTGATTTATCTTTAGATGTATAACAATTTAATCTTCTGTTTTCAGTCCATGCCACAAACCAAAAGGAAATCTCCTGCTATCGAAAAAGAGCTGGTTAGAACTGCGGAAACTGATTGTCGGAGTCTTGTTTCAAGTCATCTTCTTTCTGCAGAAAAGGTATTAAAGTCATCTTGTCAGCTTCCTTAGTATGGTTTTCCTTGATTCCTCTTTAGATATATAACAATCTATAACCTTTGTGTTCAGGCCATGCCACAAGCCTGATGGAAATCTTCTGCTATTAAAAATGAGCTGGTTAGAAACGCACAACCTGATTGCGGGAGTCCTGTTTCAAATCATCTTCTTTCTGCAGAAAAGATATTAAAGCCATCCTGCCAGCTTCCTTAGTATGGATTGCCAGGCTTTATCTTTAGGAGTATAACAATCTATATCTTCTGTTTTCAGGCTATGCCACAAGCCAGAAGAAAATCTTCTGCTATCGAAAATGAGCTGGTTAGACCCACGCAAAGTTAACTGCGGAAACTGATTGTCGGAGTCTTGTTTCAAGTCATCTTCTTTCTGCAGAAAAGGTATTAAAGTCATCCTGTCAGCTTCCTTAGTATGGTTTTCCTTGATTTATCTTTCGATGTATAGCAATCTAATCTTCTGTTTTCAGTCCATGCCACAAACCAGAAGGAAATCTCCTGCTATCGAAAAAGAGCTGGTTAGAACTGCGGAAACTGATTGTCGGAGTCTTGTTTCAAGTCATCTTCTTTCTGCAGAAAAGGTATTAAAGTCATCCTGTGAGCTTCCTTAGTATGGTTTTCCTGGATTCATCTTTAGATGTATAACAATCTATAACCTTTGTTTTCAGGCCATGCCACAAGCCAGAAGGAAATCTTCTGCTATTGAAAATGAGCTGGTTAGAACCGCGCAACCGTATTGCGGGAGTCCTGTTTCAAATCATCTTCTTTCTGCAAAAAAGGTATTAAAGCCATCCTGCCAGCTTCTTTTATGTATTATACCTTTATCTTTAGGTGTATAACAATCTATATCTTCTGTTTTCAGGCTATGCCACAAGCCAGAAGAAAATCTTCTGCTATCGAAAATGAGCTGGTTAGAACCACGCAAACTGATTGTGGGAAACCTGTTTCAAGTCATCTTCTTTCTGCAGAATAGGTACTAAAGTCATCCTGTCAGCTTCCTTAGTATGGTTTTCCTTGATTTATCTTTAGATGTATAGCAATCTAATCTTCTGTTTTCAGTCCATGCCACAAACCAGAAGGAAATCTCCTGCTATCGAAAAAGTGCTGGTTAGAACTGTGGAAACTGATTGTCGGAGTCTTGTTTCAAGTCATCTTCTTTCTGCAGAAAAGGTATTAAAGTCATCATGTCAGCTTCCTTTGTATGGTTTTCCTAGATTTATCTAACATAATACATAAACATAACCCTTAACTTGGCTTCGACGGACAACTATGCCCTCCAACTTTGAGTATGAACAAGTAGGCACTTAAACTTGTATAAAATTGAACAAGTAGACACACATGTCCTACATGGCATAATACATGTAGGACGCCACATAGGACACAAAATTGCCATGTTGGGTGTCATGTAGGACGGATTTGTCTATTTGTTCAATTTTATACAAGTTTTAGTGCCTACTTGTGCACATCCAAAGTTAAAGGTCATAGTTGTCATCTGACGCCAAGTTAAGGGTCATGTTTATGTATTATACCTTTATCTTTAGGTGTATAACAATCTATATCTTCTGTTTTCAGGCCATGCCACAAGCAACTCAGCAAAGATCTTTGGATATTGTGAGACAGTCAGAAGACATGGCACATGCCAGAAGGAAATCTTCTGCTAGTGAAAATGAGTTGGTTAGAACCGCGGAAACTGATTGTGGGAGTCCTGTTTTAAGTCATCTTCTTTCTGCAGAAAAGGTATTAAAGTCATCCTGTGAGCTTCCTTAGTATGGTTTTCCTGGATTTATCTTTAGATGTATAACAATCTATATCTTTTATTTCCAGGCCATGCCACAAGCCAGAAGGAAATCTTCTGCTATCGAAAATGAGCTGGTTAGAACCGCACAAACTGATTGCGGGAGTCCTGTTTCAAATCATCTTCTTTCTGCAGAAAAGGTATTAAAGTCATCCTGTCAGCTTCCTTAGTATGGTTTTCCTGGATTTATATTTAAATATATAACAATCTATATCTTCCGTTTTCAGGCCATGCCACAAGCCAGAAGGAAATCTTCTGGTATCGAAATTGAGCTGGTTAGAACCGTGCAGCCTGATTGCGGGTGTCCTATTTCAAGTCATCTTCTTTCTGCAGAAAAGGTATTAAAGTCATCTTGTCCGCTTTCTTTGTATGGTTTTCCTGGTTTTATCTTTAGGTGTATAACAATCTATATCTTCTGTTTTCAGCCTATGCCACAAGCTAGAAGAAAATCTTCTGCTATCGAAAATGAGATGGTTAGAACCACGCAAGCTGATTGTGGGAAACCTGTTTCAAGCCATCGTCTTTCTGCAGAAAAGGTATTAAAGTCATCCTATTAGCTTCCTTAGTATGGTTTTCATGGATTTATCTTTAGATGTATAACAATCTATATCTTCTGTTTTCAGGCCATGCCACAAGCAACACTGCCCACATCCTTGGACATTTTGGGACAGTCAGAGGACATTCCACTGGGAATGAAAATATCTTCTGCTAGTGATAATGAGCTGGTTAGAACCCCTCAAGTTGATTGTCAAGGTCCTGGTTCAAGTCAGCTTTTTTCTGTCAGAAAGGTAGTACAGTTATCTTGACAGCTTCTTTTGATAACCAAAAGAATGGATCCTAACTTTGGATCGGGGTTTACTGTATTTCTCTTTTATGTGTAACAATCTCTGTCTTCTCTTTTCAGGCCATGCGACAAGAAACTCCACCTGCATCCTCAGACATTGTGGAACCACTAGAGGACAGCGCTCCAGGCCAAAGGAAAATATCTTCTGAAATTGAAAATGAGCTGGTTAGAACCCTTTAAGCTGATTGTCGAAGTCCTGTTTCAAGTCTTTTTTCTGTGGTAAAGGTAGTAAATTATCCTGTGAGCTTCTTTAATATGTTTTTCCTGGATTTATCTTTCGATGTGTAACAATCTATCTTCTCTTTTCAGGCCATCATGCTACAAGCAACTCCACCAGCATCTTCAGACACTGTGGGACCACTAGAGGACATGGTACAAGGTCAAAGGAAAATATCTTCTGATATTGAAAATGCCACTACCCCTCAAGCTGATTGTCGAAATTCTTTTTGCAGTCATTTTCTTTCTTTGGAAAAGGTAGTAAGTCATCCTGACAGTTTCTTTAATATGGTTATCCTGGATTTATCTTCCTTCTCTTCCTATGCATGAAGCAGGATCGACCCGAGGAAAGCACATCTGTACCTAATCAGAATCGAACTCCAACAATAATTCAAGATGTGAACTCAACTTTCCACAAAGTAGAATCATTCCTAAAGTCTATCCCGAAGGATCATTGTCGTTCACTATCAGGTACACCAAATTCTAATCTGGAGTCTGCAAAGGAAACAGTGAAACATTTTGTTGGAGGACCATTGAAGATGTTGGCGGACCGAGCTAATGAAAAGATATTGAAGGAAGCAATTAGCCTACTGAACGAGAATCCCTCGTCATTCTCTGATGAACAAGCCAGGCTGTTGGTAAAGATCAAACATATATTCCCTTCGATGGTTCAAGACCTGAGGGACGCAAGCCAGACCAAGTCTAGTTGCCAAGACTTCTTCATTGATCTTGAGAAGCACAGGAAAACTTTAGATGACTTGAGGAACACTGACATGGAATTGAAGTTAAAGTATGATCAAGAAGAGGCTGAAGAGAAGAAATGGAAACTATGCTTATGTTCCTTAGGAAGAGGAAGGCTGAAATTCTAGAGAAAAGACTTGAATTATCTGTAAAGGCTAACCGCACAATGCCTTCAGCAGAAGAAAAAGTAGGTAAGATTGAAGACACCAAAATACTGTCGGTCAAGGCTAAAGAGAAAATTGATAACTTAAAGAGGCAATGGTCTGTTCTTAAACCTTTGCATCTGTAATTTGAATGTCAACTCTTGTAACTGTTGTATAGGGCAATGTTAGTGCTAATCAGTGCACTCTTTCGAAAAAAAACAAAAAAGAAAAGAGAAGGGACATCTTGAATGATCTGGTTTTTGCAGTCGATGAAGTGATTAAGGGTTCGGACGTTCGGTATGATCAATCTGTTTGGGGTTTATTGGCTATCCTTGTGAGCCATCAAATGGAGATTGTCCAAGATTTCGAATGGAGTTAACTCTCAACTGCTGTGAAAGGTTAACTAGGAAACACAAATTCTCTTATGAAAATGACATGATGTGGTAAATTCATGTTATTTATGTAAGATAACACTATATAATACTTTTTGATATTAAAAGGGTGTTGTAACTTTCAATTTTATCCTGGATGAAAGTTAGTGTATTTTTTGTATAGAGCAAGTTTCATCTTTTTCTCTGTGTATTCTTGTCCTTTGTAACAATTTTCAGTGGTACCTTTATATATAGTATGAATAGTTACATTGCACACAATACCTAGACATAGTCAAAAATTTTACGAAGGGTGTTCAAGTTTTAGATCATAAATAAAAAAACTTTTGAAGATTGGGTGCACCAAAGAAAAAAGTTAAAATGAAATCAAACAACATTTAACCTAATTATAAAAACATGTAAAATAGAATTAACAATTGTATAACTTAAAGCAAAATAGGCAAATCACAATATCGATCAATATGAGCTTTATTGATTAAAGGATGAAAATCATTTCACTTCCCAACTTTGCTTTAAAGAAAGAAAGAAGAGAAGTGAATCAGAATTCCCCAAAAATATGGATTCCTTCTACAACTTATACTTGATTAAGGATTTAACTAAAAAATTGAGAATTTGCAGGAAAGAGCTAAAAAAAGGTTTAAACAATAAATTTTGTAGGATTATTTGTTGTATATGCATCTCAATTACTCATAAACTATTTTAAAAATTAAATTAACAGAATTATTCAATTAAATTTAGACAACAATAATAAAATATTCTCGTAGTTTACTTTTACTTGTTCACTTTATCATATTAGGAGATTTTGTTTTTCTATTTTACCTGTTTGCTTATTCTCTAAATCATTTTTCAAGAATTTTTGAATCATTAATAGTCATATAATATGCACTCCATTTTTTTAAAATTAAAGGAGAACGCAATATTCATCGTTAATAAGTAAAAAATAAAGATAGGGAGTGTATTAGTAACTGAGAAGTGTATAGCTTCACTCCACACTCCATTAGTCATTACTCCATTATTCTCTAACTAATTACACTTAATTTAAGGATTAATTATTGGACTACTATTATTTATATAGTTAAGTCTTAAAAACAGTCTTATCACATAATTTTCCCTATATTATTTGAGAAGTGTATTCCACATACTACTCCATATATATCCTCTAACTAATTACACTGAATTTAAGGATTAATAAATGGAGTAAGGTCATAAATTATTTGTCCATTTATATATTAAAAAAAATGTCGTTTGTTTGTTCAAATAAGTAGGCAAATTCTAACAACTCTCTTTGCTATATATTTGATGAACGTTTATTATTAGACTATAATTACCCCCACAAGGTAATACTTCTACTTAATTATCCCATATTAATTAGTTCATTTTACAAGTTGCTTAAGAAATTAATAAGAAGATGATTTTACTGATTTATCCCTTAAAGAACTTCTTGGAAATTGTACAAATAAATATGAACACTTTCAAAAAGAATTAATTACATGGATAATATAGAAATAAATTAATTAATATTTTCTTGATTTAGTAAGGTGATATAATATGAGACAAGTATATTTAGTATAATGATCAACTAATATGGGACAGAGAGAGTATATTACTACCACGGTCCCATATTAGATGGACAGCTTACTAACTTTGGAAGTTTAAACAAATTTTGAAGATTCAATTTTTTTCAAGAGGCTAATTAATATGAACAAGGGACAAAATAGTAAAGTTGATCAATCTATTAATGATTTCTTAATTACCGTGTAAAATAGAAAATGCTCATCAAATATGGAACGGAGGGAGTATATATATTTGTCTAGAAAAAACAAATGTAGAAATATTTAACAACTTGACATAATTGAATGCATAACCACACGCATAGAATAAGACAATTAGAAAACTCTATAAATTTAATTTGTGTTAGCCAATGGATTAACTCACCACTAATCAAATTAAAGCAGCAAAATATACAATTACTTTTCTAAAGTTCAAAATGTTTGTCAAAATTAATGTTGCGTCATTCCTAGTTGCACTTTTTGTGGTACTTGTTGAGGGTAGTAACGTGATCGAGAGTATTGTTGAAGATCATGAACATTCAATTGGAACTAAATGGGCTGTGTTGGTAGCTGGATCAAGTGGATGGTATAACTACAGACACCAGGTAATATATACATATATTTAATCAATGTGATACTACACTTGCTAATTTCATATGAATCAGTACTGAAAATCACTTGTATTCATCGCTTTAGCAATAACATCCAAGATGAAAGTAAAAATAATGATACCACCATCATGCATATTTGTTCAATGTTCAACGAGTTGGTAATGACTTTCTTCCTACCCAGAGATCATAGCACGATACCGAATTTGTCGTAAAATTGAAAGATATTTGAGGTTGAATAAGTTAACTTATGGTTAACAATAATGTAATGAAAAGACAAAAGATTATTTAACTTAATTTAAATTAATTATACTATATATTATAGTAAAGAAATTGTTTCTAAGATCGATTAATTTCTTAATTTAGACTAATACTTTCAGGCTAATATATGTCACGCTTATCAACTATTGAAGAAAGGAGGTCTAAAAGATGAACACATTATTGTATTCATGTATGATGACATTGCTTACAATCCTGAAAACCCTAGACCTGGAGTTATCATAAATAACCCACATGGTCATGATGTGTACAAAGGAGTACCCAAGGTATGTATGTCTGGTTCTGAATTTATAACGATAATTGAGTGTCAATAACATACACTATTTGACCAAAATTTAATGAATTCAATCGAACTCGTATTTAAACTTCTAGTTCCGCCCCCAGATTATTTGTCAAAATGTTATTACTTAAATCTAATGTGTGTATATATATATATATTTGATTAATTTTTTTTATGAGATTTATACTTGTAGGATTACACAGGAAAAGATTGTAATGCTCAAAACTTTTATGGTGTTATCTTGGGAAACAAAAGTGCTCTAACTGGAGGCAGTGGAAAAGTTGTGAACAGTGGTCCAAATGATTATATTTTTATTTACTATAGTGATCATGGTGCTCCTGGTGTAGTTGGTAAAGTTTTTTAATTTCTTACTCTAACTAAAATATAATATAAATTATTTTTCACCAAAGTTTTTAATTAAACTAATTTTTTCATGTTTAGCAATGCCTGTAGAACCACCGGTCTATGCCACGGAACTAAATGAGGTGTTGAAGATAAAACATGCTTCTAGGACTTATAAAAAAATGGTAAGTAATTTTAGCGCTAGCTAGTTTGAATCAATTATATATGACGATATTGAATAATGAACGTATGTTGTTAATTAATTAGGTATTTTACTTGGAAGCTTGTGAATCTGGAAGCATGTTTGACGGTCTTCTTGATGAAGGTTTAAATATTTATGTAACGACTTCATCAAAACCCGATGAAGATGGTTGGGCTACGTATTGTTCTTTCAGTGGTGATAAATCTTGCTATGGTGAGTGTCCACCAAAAGAATTCAAGGATAATTGCTTGGGAGATTTGTTCAGTGTTTCTTGGCTAGAGAATAGGTAGGTATGTATGTATATGTTTGTTAGATTAATTCTTTAATTTGACATCATTATTATTGAATTGAAACCATAAAAAGAAAATATGATATACTATATGTTAAATTAAACTAACTATACTTGGTAATTTGTGTAAATCAGTGATTTGCGTGATCGACGAGTTGCAACTTTAAAGAAGCAGTATCAACGGGTAATTATTTTGTTAAGTTTCAAATATCATATAGTTAGGGAGTACGTAGTTGTTAATTGTTTGATTCGAAATTTTATAAATGTAATTCTTAACTTCTCGTTGGATTTATTTTTGAATTCGATCAGATTCGTAAAAGAGTGTTAAATAATGGTACACACGGTTCCCATATAATGGAATATGGTGATTTACATATACATAACGATGCTCTCTCCAAATATATGGGTTCTAATTCCCCAAAACATACTTCTTCTACCAATAACTACCCCTCAAACTCAAGACATGTTAATCAGCGTGATGTGCAACTCTTGTATCTCTTATCCAAGGTGATTAATTAATCTTACATAACTTTAACTTTTGTGCGTACGTACGTAAAACAATGTTTAAATATACGATCAATTTCACAGTTTCAGAATGCTCCGGAAGGGTCTATAAGAAAATCAGAAGCTTATAGGAAACTAAGTGAAGTTATATCAGAAAGAGAACATGTAGACAAGAGTGTAAAACATATTGGACAAATTTTATTTGGAGTTAATAATGGTCCAGAAGTGCTCAACATTGTTAGACCTGCTGGACAACCCCTTGTTGATGATTGGGATTGTCTTAAATCCTTTGTAAGTATATACTACACGTCTATATGTTATAACAATGATCATATATACATTGACAGTATAAAAAAAATTAATGTTACATTGATGTACAGGTGAAGATATTTGAGTCTCATTGTGGATCATTGACTAGCTATGGCAGAAAACACGTTCGTGGATTTGCTAATATGTGTAATGCTGGAATTCAAAGGGACCAAATAGATGCAGCTGCACAACAAACATGTTCTTCTTAATTAAGGAATTAATTAATTACTGATCATGTAGCTTGTATTAAGCAACTTCATTATTATTAATAAATCTTATGACTACTATTGCTACTTAATTATGTATATGTTATACGTACCAAAGTGAGTATTGATGGGAAGAGTTGGTGATCGATCTATATATATCAAGAATAAGCTATAATTAAGTCATGCATGGTTTGCTTCAATGATTTTGTATATATTGTAGCTTTATTTAGGTCACTCATTTAAAAAAAAATTGTAGCTTAATTATAATATGTTTAATCCACAGGTAATAATTATATTTTATATGTACCCACCAAGGTTTTCTTAAGAAACTAAGTTACTAAATTATTAACGTATAAATTGATAACTTAAAGAGGCAATGGTCTGTTCTTAAACCTTTGCATCTGTAATTTGAATGTCAGCTCTTATATGTTAGAACAAGAATGATAAAAATATAAGGAATTCAAAACAAAACTTGCTTAGCTTTGAGGCATGTTAAAACGTTTCTTGAAGATAGTTAGAGTCTCCCACTAGCAAATGGAAGAATAAATAACAACTTTATCTTCGGGATTCAACTAAGCCACAAACAAGTAGCATTAAAGAATGTTGCTCTTCTA